TTTGCCAATAGAGTAGAAAGAATTTTTGTTACAGAAATGAGTGTATGTTCCACTTGAGTGAGATTTGGAAAAGGGAGGAAGTCCCTAAATATGTGCTCGGAATATTACAACTACCCTGTATTTACAATCATGCATCTGTTTTGAATATATATAAAATCTGACATATTTCTTTTTTTTTTTTAAAAAAAAAAAACAACAAACCACAGCCATTTAGCACATAGAGTATTCAATTTCCTGCTCCTATTGCTGAATTCATTTAGGGGTTTTGTGTTTATTTGTTTGTTAAAGTTTAAACATTATAACGTAGCAAGAAGGCTTGGCAATTTTCAAATCCTATAAATGGTAAGCATGGAAAAGGTCCAGAATTCATTAGGTATATGCCATATCTCCTTTCAAGCTCTTTTATGCATGGATTATTGTTAAAGTAGTGTATTTTTAGCATGCCAATGGCTTCTCACAGCACATTACTACAACCATAATGGTTACACTATAGGCAGCAGTGCACAAAGCCTTTTCCTTTGTTCCTAATTTACCAGATCTCAAAGTCTTTTATTGTCCAATTTAAATTAAAACACCAACATTTCTATGGGAGACAACACCAGCAAGGTGTACAATTTGGAACTGATAAAATATCGAAAAAGCCAACCCACATCCTGGTGGTCAAAATAGGCAGATCTTTTTCACAATCTACTTTAGGGAAATTATATTTACTCTAAACCTCACATAAGCAGAGGGTCAAATTCCAGCATTGGTGATTGTTAATGAAAATTATACAGAGATCAAGAATTGTCATGTTCAAGATAACTTATTTTTTCATTTACTCAAAAAAAAAGATGGGTAAGGTTCATTTATTCACTTATATTTTTCATGTTTTTACCTAATTCATTTTGAAAGAAAGTTTTTACAGTGCTGGGGATCATAATAACATGCGCGGGTTGTGGGGTTTTTTTCAAATACAAAAGAGTAAGTCTCAACCCTTCTTCTCTCGATTCTGTATAGTCGCCCAACTTGTTTTTCATGTCATTATAGCCCCTCCTAGCCTTCACATCTGCTGTCTACCATTTTCATTGCTTATAAGCAGCAGGTGAATGGCCCAAATGAAAGATTTAACAAGCCCTCAGCAGAGCTGCTGCCCTGAAATTTCACTCCCCTACACAATGCTCTTTCCCTCTCTTTGTCTGAAGTAAAAAGGGTTTTTCTCAGACTATTGTCTTGACGGTTGGCTAATATTGTCATCCTCTATAAAGTCCTGTAAGCAGCTACTGAGCAGGATGAAGTGAGGACTGTTAAAATATTTTCATGCTATTTCCTCAAATTTGTAAGGAGGGCAACTTAAATCATCCTCCCACCCCTTTGCGATTAGAAATCTGCAGAAACTTGAGGAGCTATTTACTGATGCAAATATTAAACCAGCAAATTAAGTATCAATATTTGTACCCGCAGTTCTTCTGCATCCATCTTTTCAGAGTTCACGGAAAATACCAAGTGCCTACCAGACCATTTTTTAAGTAGTTATGATTAAATCCTGCAGCGAACAAAGTCTGAAAAGAAATACATCTGAATAACTGAAAATATGGGGAAATCACAATACACCTAATTGTTTTATCCGCAACTAAGAAAATCTAAATTTCTCTCTTTTTTTTTTTTCTTCCACATAAATGATGAGACTTTCAATTCATTCCCAAATACGTTTGCAAGTACAGCACCACATCTCATCTCCGCCAGATCACCCAGCCAGGACCATAACTTCTCCAGCCCTATCAATAATGAACTTGGTACTTCCTCTTCAGGTTAACCAGAAGGATTATTAACACTCCAATCCCATTACCTGTGAGGTGGATTGAGGCAAAAAGAAAATCCAAACTCATCACAAAATTCACTGGGGTAGTACATCATCAAAATGAAGTTTTAAGAGGCCTAAATTGAGATTTGAAGGTAGGAACTTGCTACTCTAAAGCCTGAACTTTAGGTGACACCTGTATTATGGCAGAATGAGGTCTACCTCAAATAAGTTTGGGCTTTTAATTGTGTGCCTGCTGAAGGAGCAAATGACAAGAGAGAACTGAGAGTCCCAGCCTGCTCTGTACTGGCCACGAGAAGTGGGAGGTGACACGTGGTCAGTGGTGGGAGCTCACCATGAGGACTTGCAACCACAGCAACCCCAGTCCGTGAGGAGGGGAGCAATGGCAGGAAGACCTCGACACTGGCACACCAGTTCTCCGTGCTATGAAAGAGCTGGGGCAACGTAAAGATAAATAACATTATTTCCATCTGTTGCAATACAGAAGCTCACACCACAGTAAATTAAGCGGTCTACTCAATGTAACAGGGCATGCTGATAGAAACCTAACTGCTCTTACCCCAAACTTTACTTTTGGGGCTTTAAGTTTCTGCCAAAGTGAAACAGACTATTGTGTAAAACCCCGCAGACCTTTCTGTTGGCACGAACAGGATTTTCACTGACACAGTGTATAGAAAAACTGTGGTTTAGCAACAGTGACAACTCTCAGTGTTCAGCCTCGAAAACATCAGAACCCCTCTAACCCAGAAGTGCTACCTCTGGACCTTGATGTATCTGAATATCAATTTTAAAGCTGCAAACTATGTAATAGGTATATAGGATAGGTATAAACACAGTAATATCCCACTTATCAGTAAAATTTTTAGACACTATTAAAACAGCTGGTATCTGCCGCATAAAGGCAGTTGTATAACAGAGGCAGAAGAGCTTAACCCTGTCTGTGAGGTCTTTAAAGTTTCCACTAGGATGAAGGGTGCTATAAAAATATTTTTAAGCCTGTAACTAGCAAAAATGACTTCATTATGATCTCATGTGCTGCCAGAGCACCAATTAAATTGACTTGATAATGTTATGATTAGGCTGTACTTTTCATCAGTTACAAAGCTCTTGATTGAAGAAGAGATTTGCAACATTGAAAGAAATGACCTTGTGATATGGATTTTTATCAATGACTTTTTACCTTGCTGGTTTCCAATTACATGACAAATAAATAATAGTACTTGCAGCTTCTATTATACTTCTGAGGATCCCAAAGTACTCTGCTGATTAATTAGCTTCACAAGAGCTGTGAGAGTCAGATACATGTTATCCTGTTCTTATTAACAATTCAGAATTCAAATGTGATATCTTTGCCCCATTCAAATAAATGGCAAAAATCCTCTTGACTTTAGTGGGGGTAGGATTTCACTCCGAGTTTAAGCAGTTTGACCAAGGTCACAAAATCTGTCTGCAGCAGAGCTGGGACATCTCTCCTTTCTCACGGCCATTGCAGTTAAAGCCATAAAGTAACTCAGGTAAAACGTACCCAAGACTTGAATTACACTTGATCCTGTACTTCCATTGTCAAAAAGTCACCCTTAAAAGTCATAACGTACTGCTATCAACTTCATTTAAAAAAAAAAATAAAAATAAAAAATTCACAAAATGCAAAAACATTTGACCAGTGAGAAAAAAAGAGCCCATATTCCACAAAGCATCCTTTCAAGTCCTTTTGAGTCTATAATATATAACAGTTTCAGAACGCTTGCTTTTCGGCATTTATATGAACACATAAATCGAGTAAATGTGTATTTATATTAAATATGTTTTGATATTTGTCTCAACATGAACTCATAGAATAAAATCAATGCACAGTACAACAGTCTATTCAAAGTTTCTCAGCTTATGCTAATGCAAATTCAAAATGACGTAAGAAATTGCATCATAACAAAGAATAACTTAGAAAAAACATTTGTATTCTTCAATGCTCTAAAATATGGTTATGGTTCTTTCTTAGAGCTAACAGCTGCTTGGGATACAGCGCAGTGCGTGTTCTCCACACTGCACTCCAGACTCCTTTGGAAAGAAGGACAGGGAGACAATTTGTTTTTCACTTTTCAATTATGGAACAGAGTCAAGAAAAAAAAAAAAAAGATCTTTCTGGAGCCAGTTCAAAAAATGTGTCAACAAGAGCAGTGACAGCTGAGCTGCATTGCCTCTTGTCCACCAGGCAGGCTGATTCCCCATCAGAGGGGAAGGGGAACCTTGGCTATCTTTTCATTTTTGGAAAGTATATGTCACTTTACATCAACTAATCTTTTGCGAAGTGAAAAAGCATGAAAAAATTCCTTCATTTCAGGGATTACAGCCAAACTCAATGCCTATCCCCAAGTTTGAGCTCAAAGAATTATGATAGCAACCCCAACTCACTTCTTTCTTCAAAAGATATTCCAAGGATATTGCGGTGGTTGTGAAAAGGATTCTTTCATCATCAATTGTCAAATGTGGACAGACTGCTGAAATGTAATTCTCACTCTTGTGGTGTTGCTGGATGGAGAGGAGACCCTAGAAAGGGAAAATGCAACCAGTGCAAGAGGTGCCTCTGTATGGAGAACGGGAAGGTGACACCTACAGACATTCACGGACACTTGCAGAAGGAGCTGCGACACTTGCGGCAAGAAAAAACCGAGCGAACTGGGCTGACCTTCAGCACTGACTGCACAGTAACCAGTGTCAGAAAAACACTCCCCCTCCAAACACATTATTACAGAGCTGAGGATGGTGAAAAACACTACAGCTGAATGCAATGAATTAGACAGCGCTAACCAGAGCTGCCTGCTCTACACGGTACAATAAGCATTATGTGGGCAGGTGCAACTGTGACCTGCATTGGGATCCCCAGGTTTCTAATGCTATGAAAATTACACAAAAAACCCATTCTTTAAAAATATTTTTACACTTTCAATGCTTTTTCATTAGAATAAATGTATATTATTAATTTCATATATAAATTTTATATACAAATACATTATAATAAGTTCTGTTATGAACTTACCTCTATTATAAAACCACACATCATGTCATTTGACCAGAATGCATTTAGTGCAGTAGCTGGGAGAGGGAAAGAAGTTTACAATCAATGTGTAATCTGGTTACCAGCCCCATAACTGCAAAAAAATTAAGCAGATTTTCATGGTATCCACAAAGGCTCGAGGCAACACCAACCTCCTGTCTTAAATTACCGCTTAGAGATAAAGCAAAGTATAACCCATTTTACAATTGTGCAGAAGTGGCTTTATTGGTTTTGACCCATAAATGCCAAATTTCACATAAACCGTGGTGTAACATAAAAACTTATTTCAAGTTGCCTTTTGCAGCCAACTCAGAAGTCACATACTTCATAGGTCACAGGTAGAAAATTGCTGCTCTTCACCATCCAGAAATTACTGTGAGGTAAAAGGAATGCTCTGTAGTGCAGCATTCCCCAAATCTGTGTGCACTCTATTTTGGGGGGTTCTGGCACACATCCACACTATAACAAGCCATGTCAACTGGTTATGCTGCAAAAGACTACCTGTACACACAGGCAGTCAACATCGATAGTGGGATTCAATTATATTCCTGTTTACAGACATAAAAATGAAGGCAAATTCTCAGAAGACTCTGTGTTGACAATTCACAATTCAGTTTTGAGTAAGTAGAGATATTTGTATCACGGAGATAAAAATAAACAAATAAAAGAACCCAAAACAAACCCAAAAAAACCCCACTGAATTTTCAAAATTTTTATGTAAACTCACAGAGCCTGGAAAATCCTGAAGATATGCCTGTAGGAAGACGTGTTAGTACCTCCTGGGATATTAGCAATAAGATTTATGTCCTTCTTCCAAAGACTCCCAGCAAGAAACAGTGTCCAACTGAGTTTGGAGAAAACAGATAAAAGATTTGACCTCCAGTTTGTAATAACAGCAGTGGACACTGAACTAGATTATCTGGCTGGCAGGGTGAATTAGCCTGACCACTAAGTGGACGTGATTAAAATCAGGGATGGACAGACTTTGGAGCAGACAGTAAGAGAAGAGCAACATAGATAACTCCATTTCATGTGCCTTCTAGCATTTGGTGATTTGCTTTTGGGATAATATGTTACAAAGCTGGACACAAAAAAATCATAATATCTATTTGTCTGATATGGCTGCAGCTGATGAAGTAAAAACACTTAGTGCATGATTAAATGAAAAACAAACCTGGCAACTTGATTTATTTTTTTTTTGCCAAGGAAAGCTCCTCTGCTGCAAAACACAGAAGATACTAAAAGAGAAACAAGTAATTCACATGTGGCATGTATATCACACTTTTTTTTCTTGATATTTCTGCATTGGATTTTCTGTCTCTTCTCCCTTCACCTATACTCTTCTTCTTTATTAAATGCAAACTCAAAGCAGCTTAAATCAAATATACAAAGTCACTAAGTTCAAGCAGATTTGAAATTAGGTGAAGAAAGTTCACTCAAACTCACAGACTGTATTTCTGGCTTCAGCAATTCTGAAAACAAACATAATCTGTATCCATAGGGGAAGAACACGAAGCAGCCTCTGATGGTAGAAATGTAGATCTAAGTCTTTTCAAATGCAATGGATTTTAATAAAATTTTCTTAAAATATCCTTTGGCTCCTGTTGGCTGCTAGGTGGAATGAGGCAACACAAACCTCACAAATTATTATTTCAAATATTTTTGATATTGGCATTATCACAATCATTATTTCATTACTATTTAAGACTTGCAGTCAAGATTATGGTTTATAAAAATGCTAGGCTCTGGTAGCTCAAATGAAATAATATTTCTGTGCTATTTATTTTCTGTTAATGCTCACAGACCACTAATTCTTCTAACCACCTACACCCCAGTGTGAATGTTATGTCTCTTTCTTTCCAGTAAAGGATACTATTTCCTTATTCGACAAAAATGCTCTGATAATCTGTTGTTTACTTCTAATCAGAATTTGGAACATCATCTGCATTTCTAAAGCTTCCAAAAATTTGCTGAAATAAGGATCACATGATGACTTCTTCATTAAAACAAACATATGCAACTGGTGTTGTGATGCTTACCATTAATGTAGCTCCATGAAGGGCAATAAAATAAATTGAGGCAGCCAAGGATTTAATACTGAAGCAGATACACACTAATTGTAAAGCGTGACAGTTCATCCAAATCCAAAGAAAATTTTAACAATTAAGATATATAAGGTGAGACTTCATAATCCAGCCAAATACTGACAAGTATTTTGTCTAACTCATATTCAGATACAGAGTAATTTGAAGCTAAATCATTTTACATTACAAAGAACATTATTGAAAGCCTCTTAATTTAAAGATCCTCTTCCTAGCAAAACAGTCAGTGACACTCAACCATGTTGTTATTTCCATTATGTGAATATACATGGTGAAACTTCACCATCATTAATAAAGATCCGCTTCCCTTGGTGTGGAGAACATTATTTTCCCAGCTGTAGCACGAATGGAGGGAGATCAAACAAAGGTGTGGAAAAGAGACCAGGAAAAGAGAAGTGTATGAACCGAAACAGGAAGCAAAGGGGATGTGTGAATGAAGGATGTGAGGGGGAAAGGGAGGAAAAGGGAAAAGAATATGTGTACAAGATGGTATCAACAGTCAAAAAAAAACAACCACATGAAGATGAGAAGGACTAGAAAGGAGAAAACGAAATCCAGAAATGGTGGGAAATTATGCTCGTGAAAAAACAGGCTGGGGGCTATAGAAAAAGAAAAGCCCTTTGGCCTCACACATCAATCCTAGGTGTGACCTACTCTAAAGCACGGAAGAAAAACAAAAGCTGAATAAGGCAAGGATGTTTATAAAACCTGTAGCTAGTTGGATATGGATATAAGATAGGGTCTTGGAGAAAAAATAGATTTCATAAGTAAATACATACCTATGTGTACACACAAACTTACTGAACTCCTAGCGCTGGGATTTCAGGTGCAAAAACCAGCTACCAAGGGTAAAGGAACTGAAGTTTATTTTAGCCTCACAATTCTCTACTGCCAAAGAGCCAGAACTTAAGTAGTTCACACTGCGCATTTTGCAGCCCAGACCAAGCAAGTACAGCATTATTATATAAAATCAATATAGAAATGTCATCTGCAAAATCCCTGCCTACCCCTATACCAGAACGTGTGCATGATAACAAAACAAACTGATTCATGCTGTTCCTGCAAGGGGGAGTATTTTTACATCCAAACCTTTTCCTTTGCCCTTATTCTTGTTGTCAGTGCAAGCAGCAGAGAGAATTCCTTCTGCTTTATCAAATGCTTCATTAAGAACCAGTTTTGATGAGATACTAATGGCTCTGCCCCAGTTCCCTGCAGCCTCACCTCATTTCAGGCCTGGAGGCAATAGCAGAGGCACAAAAGCCTTGGGAGTTTTGTCATGGTCACCACCAGCAGACGTACACTGGCTGCAGTGACCAGAACCATCAGGCTGTATACAGGGGTGGGAGGAGGGACAAAGAGAGAAATGCTGATGGTCAAAAGTTTCATAAAAGACAGCTCCTGAAATTCTCGAGCTTGTTGTTGCTAGATTTTACATACCATAAACAAGAAAAATGAATGATCACCCTTAATCATAATGTTATTCTAATAACCCTCATTCTTTCTAGCATGAAAAGTTAAATACTACATATTAAAACCTGCAAAAATATTTGAGCTTTAATTATTTTTCTCTTTTTGTTTTTTTTTTCTAGCAATTTGTTACAGTAGCCATACTATTCAGACAAAAAAATTTTAATCAAAAAGAATTGCAAAGATCCATAAAAATATGTCATGACAGAACAGAACACATCTATTGTTTAGCTGCACAGCACCATAAATATATAGTGGAACAGGAGGAAAGTCATCTCACAGGTAGTAACCGTCTCCCCCTCATACTAATCCACTAATTCATAGCCTTATGCTGTCTGTAGAGTATTAGAGATCCTTGTAAAAACATAAGTGACAGTTTCAGAATTTTTTTATAGTTTTGTAAAATAAATCTCCAGTGGATTTACCCCATAAAGCTAAATCAAAGCTGATGTTTTTAGCAAACAACACTCATAATAAAGTTGTTAATGGGTTTATCCCGTTCCATATGTTCTTGCCCATTTGTTTTTGTTTTGCTTTGAATTTCAATTTTGATGTTTTTATTGAAGTATCATGAAAATAAATGCATACATAAGAATTTACAGGGAAAATATCATAATACAACATACATCAAATACCATACTGAAACCTAATTATAAGTGCTGGTAGAAACATAATTATTTTTGAAAAGTATGTGGATTGCAGAGGAATGTAATGGATGGAAGAGATGTCACTGTCCTGGAGGAAGTGGTATGCAAAAAGGGGCATTCCCATTACCTGCTGGCAAATCCTACCCATATTTTCAGTCCAAAGAATCTCCACTAAAAGGATTCAGTCCTTACTTGAAAGTATTATGCATGGGGGTGTCACAGGGGCTCTATCCCAAAGGTTCTCACCCAGCAGGAGGTCTGTAGAGAATGACCACGTCCTTGAAGATATTTTGATGCTATTTGCTGCTGACACATCTAAATAACAGGCTGCGCTCTACTTTATGCTACTTAGAAATTTCATCAGGCTTTAACACCTGATGTTTCTGCGCTTTTCAGCTGACAACTCCAAGTAGGAGAGCCAGAAGTAATCCAACACAATGATCAACAAGCCTTGAATTACTGTAGCAAATTCCATACCTGGCAGGAAAAGGTGCAGTCTTCAGCACAACCTACAGTGGCAGAAAGCTTCCTTTCTATTTATCAGTCACAGGCAAATGTCCTCTTTAGAGATGCTATAACCATTCCTTCAGTTCCTGGAAATATTTTCTTTCCTCACCGGGATCCCTTCCATCATGCCCATGGGGAGTCTAACAGACTGTTCTTCCATCGAGCAATGTCTTCCAGACACAGGGGCATGCTGTTGATGCCACTCTCTCTTCCTGACAAGAAGGAAACAGAGTTGAGTGCGTCTGTACACTGATTTTACAACTTCTAATAAAGTCATTTAGAATTCCAGCACATACACCAAATGTGAGAGGGGACAAAGCTCAGTTTCAAATGTCAGAGAGTAACAAACGGCTGGGCTGCTGGAAAAGGACCGACCTGCAGAGCTAAACACATCAACACTGCAGTTCAAGAGCTGGCATTGAGGCTATTCCCAATGTAAAATTCTAGACTACACAGCTATCAGAAATGCTGGAATATCCAAAAGATTCTTAGGAGGTTTGGTGATTTCCTTCTGATCAAGACTTTCATTTGGGTTGTATAAGGAAATTTGTGATATTCTTTAAATGCAAAGATTCCATTTACATGTGTACTGTATTTGTTTTTTCTTTGTTTATGATTAAGTGGTTTTTACATTCCAAGAATTTTTTTTAATTATTTTTAAATGTTTATTTTCTAAAAAGATGACCATCCTATAGCAAATAGAAACAACAGCTGACTGTTCAGGTTTCAGACTCAGACGACTGACACTGAGACAACAAATTCTGCAAATCTTGATATCGTAAGTCAAGTTGTTACCTGCAGCAACTCATTCTAAATATGAAGCAGGTAGAAACTTTTTGCTCACTACAACTTCCTACCAACCAGCTAGGAAAGGAACCAGGCCTTCATGTATGGACATTCACATGATTTTGCAGATGCCATGAGTCCTCCTTGATAAAAAATAGCCATTAAAGGATAAATGATTTGAAAAAAAAACAACAAAAAACAACCTAAGTCCAAGTAGTCAAATAGAACTAATCTGTTAATTTAGATATATATACTACAGAATAGTTTGGAATTATGATTTGTAATTGCTTCAGCATCTGAACTCCTTTCGTTGCACATATGTGTGGGGACAGTGGAACTTCAGAGGTTAAGGAATTAGCCACTGCAAATATTAATTACGTTGCATCAGTAGAAATTATACTATATTTGTTATTAGTCAATAAAACATTATATTCCTCATTAGAATTAAGCTGTATAATTAACTTTTTAATTCTTAATACTGTGGTTAAAAGAGGCTTGACAGGATGGAGCATAAAATGTCTTTTACAAACAATCCATTCTGTAATTGGATTGTTCTGAAAATATAATCCTTTCCCTCTGGTTTAAAATTAGTATTTATAATCATAAGTCTTGGTAAATATAAAAATGCAGAAGTCTAAGCCTGAGCAGAGTGGTTTTGGTTCCGTTCTTCTTTTTCCCCTCACTCTTCTGCACCTACGAGTATTTTCTTTGAGACAGAAAGAGGGATGCAGGCTGAATGCTGAATGCAATCTTGCAAATGTTTTCTGATTTTGCTCCCTCACATTTTCTTTTTCAGAATCCTAATGTAACATTTCCCTGCGCTATCACACGTTAAAGCCCCGGCTCCTGAACCGTTGTATTTGGCCAGCAATTAAGAAGCTCCCTGCATGTGAAATCCTCCTCCTCACAGAATTCTTAGCCCTCATTCCCTAATGTTAGCCGAGCAAAACGGTATATCTTTATACACACAGTGCAACTGCCAAGAAATCAATTCTGTGTGTTTTCCTCCCTTTTACACTTTTAAAGGACCGTGATCAGTTTTCTCTCTCTGTTTTCTTTTGCACATCCTTTCCTAGCTTTAAAGTGGTGTCTGAGCCCTTCCCCTCTCCCCTGAAAAAAAAAAAAAAAAAAAAAAAAAAAAAAGGCAAACCAAAACAGGTAGAATTCCTCTGTTACTATTAACACCTAAAAATATGATCATGAAACAAAAGCTTTGCTCCTCTGTCCAATTTGATGTCTTTTTCATGCTGCCTCAGTGATGGCCAAATAATTGGTTGTTCACTTGTGTCCTTGTCTCCCCCGACAGTTCCACAGATGCCCTGAACAATGCTCCAAAGACTGCTTTCAGTAGGGGCAAATCCTCATTAATCATTCCTGGCTGACAGCACAAGGGAACACCTGCATCTGGTGCAGGGACCAAGCAGTGGCTTCTGGGAGCACGCATTAAAAAGACCAACCAATTCAAGTTGTGGGAGTAGGCTTCTAATAGCCATGTGAAAAATCTGTCTCTCCCCGGATTTTCCTTTCATTAAATATCTAAAATTAGACCTGTGGCTCGTGTCGAGATTAAAACACCAATGTATTCTAAGCAAATCAGGAAATGAACAGTACTGTATGTTATGATAAATGGCTGCTAAATTCTTTATGTCTAGATCAAGCAATGTTAGCATTAAATACTGATGAACTGTCACATAATTTTCATTTAGAAATGACTGCACTTTGAGCTTCATGTCCTGTGGTGCTCATAAATATTTTTCCCTGCTATATTTCACAAATAGACTACACTGACTACGCAGATATTTTTACCGTGTAGCCCCAAGACCACACTGTATATAAACTGTTTTTCTGTGCAAGCACGTCAACCTTTCTGTGCAAAGAATTACCAAAAAATGTTCGTAGCGCAAAAAGGGACTGTAGCCACCCCAGTACTATAAAGCCATGTCCAGCTTCCAATTATAACACTTTTTTAACAGAACAATTGTCAGCTGTATTTTTTTTAAATTGTTTTCACTGCATTTAGAGTAGAGGGGAGGATTTTCCTCCTAAGGAAAATGGGAAAGGAGTGAAGAGAGCAAACATAAGCTGCTCTTTTTTTTTCTTGTCTTGTCTTTTTTTTTTTTTAATAAAAATGAGTCAGATATACTTATCTAAACATGTAGGGCCATTAAAATCTACGGTAGGATTCCAACTGATTTCAATGGGCTTTGGGTCAGGCCCTTAGGCCCCGCATCTGGTCTGTGATTAAATAAGCCCATCTCTCCCCACGTATAAACTGGAGAGAACCACCATGGGCTGGGGATTACAAACGACTAACAATGTATATATTTTTTTTTTGCACATATGACTGAGCACAAGCAGGCTTTGAGTCTGTCCATAAAATATGTTCACGTCTCAAACAAGAAAGCACTTGGCTGATACAAAAAGTATCTTTTAAAAGGCAGTCAATTATCACCTATACACCACGGTGAAGATTTTAGCAAAGGTCAGAAGGGGGAGCAAAGGGAAAACGTGAGGCAGGGATAAAAAACCAACAGAACTCTGAGCATTAAAACACCACTACTGCTGAGATGCTGTACACAGAGTAAAAGAGCACAAAACACAACTAGGATACCAACTGAAATCTTAATTTGAAATACATTTTCCTGCAAGCTGATACTGATGGAATTGATTTGGAAAAAAATGACTGAAACAGAGTTTTAAAGTGGCTTTTTTTTTTACCCTTAATGAGAAGGAAAAGTTTTCAAAGTAAAATCATGCTCTGTACAAGCAAGAATAAATATGCATGCATATATAGCCCATGTGTATTTTCATAATTTATCTTAAAATGTTTGATACTGTTTTCTTAGTTATTGAACAAAACTTTAGAGATATTTGTATTTTGCACTTCATTGTCAGTTAGAAATAGTGACATTTGACAGAGAAAGGCTTTCTTCCTAATGAATGCAGTACCACGGTCTGATGACGCCATCTAAACGCTATGAGTTAAGGAGATAAATAAGAGCAGCTAGAACAAAACAGACACCTATTTGGCCTTTTCTCTGAAAGCTACCAATACATGAAATCTTGCTCTTTTCACTACTACTTTCTACTGTGCTTTCACAGCAGCAACTAAAGTGTCCATTCTAAATAATTTTATCCAGGTGTGGTGGAAATTTGGGTTACAACAGATCGGTTAAATTTAAGAATGATCTTTTCATAAGATCCATAAAAATCTCAGGTCCCTGTTAGGGCCTTATGCAAATATGCACAGAAGTCAGGTAAATAAGTGACTGTGTAGATGTGATGTAATTATGTTCACATCTGTTTGTAAGGATGGTAAATCTGCTGACTCATATAGTGGGCAAAGGAATATCTCGTTAGTAATATACCTTAGTTATAGATGAGAACTACTGAATGTGGGAAGTCCCCTTCCAATTTTTTTTTAACTGAGATGCTTAGCAAGTTGTCACACATGCAGGAGGCTGGAATGCAAATTCTTGCTGGCCTCAGGCAAGTTTCATTAGGCTTTCCGAAACCTTTTAAAATTTGCTGTGTAAATAATTTCACATAGAACTTAACAATAATCTCTCGTTCAAAAGCAACACATTTCATGTATACTTCAAACATATGGGGGGGAGTTCTTCAAAGAGACATTATTAAGGTAAAAGACATGTAAAACATTTTCTTGGTTGTTGCTAGAAGCTCTAATTATTTTATCATATTAAATTTTAAAAATTACTTTGAAAATCTGTTACTTTTATCACAGGTATCACTCACTTCTCTTAGGCTGGACAGTGAGACGAGTCTAGCAAGTGACACTGACTCTCATCAACCTAAAACTAAGGGGAATCAGCACAAAATTGAAGAACAAAAAAAAAAAAAAAAAACAAAATAAAACAAAACAAAAAAACCCAAAGCAAACCACCCTACTTTCAGTCCAACTTTAAAACCTCATTTCTTTAGACCACTTCAATTTATAATGGTTTTGAAAATCTTGTTAGAGTTTTCCACTGAAATCCCATGACTCAGCTCTATGGGCAAGCAGGGAATGTGTGCAGTGAGTCTCGCTCACTCTCTCTTCCCCTTCTAAAATTTGGAATCAGTCGGTCCTCAGAAGCAAAGTAACACTCTACATACACTATTTTTCATGTCAAATGTTATACCAACTCCAATATTGGGGAAAAAGTGGATTCATTCCAGTAGGAATTAGGACAGAAAGCCAAAAGCCAAAATACAATTCCTAATAATATCCTGTCTTTCAACCAGCCTTCCCCTGCCAGCCCTGGAAAAATGTTCTTGACCCAGCCTAAACTACGTGCATAGATCATACACTGCCAGGGTTAAAACGTCAGGAGAATCATGTAGGTAATCTTCATATTAGAAATGTGGTACCCCAAATCAGCCTAGAACAGCTTTTTAGTAGTTGCCTTTATCTTAGCAGTTACAG